GATACTTTAAAAATATGCAGATAATGCTCTAGCAACAAATACTTGCTCAATTTGTAATAAACTTTCATCCTACAGATCTATGTTATGGTCTTTTAAATCTAATATTTTTCATTTAAGTGTTGCATCCCAATATAATAATTTGTATGAAATTGGGGCTACAATTATGGTTCCAAATTAATTTAAAATTCAATCTTCTGTTTGAATTTCAATCAACTTGCAAATATCCTAGCTGAGTAAACAACTAGATACACTTACACCTACAGAGTTAGGTTCACAGGCAAGGTGGACCACATTGTTACTGAAAGATGTGTGTTTTTGTGGGTCTGGCTGCTTGCCGCTCCAAAGCCAATAGATAGGCCAGATTGGTGAAAAGAAAAGTTCGCTTTATTTCAGATGCCAGCAACGGAGGAGGGCAGGGTGGTGGACATCAGTCCAAAAGGCGAATAACCCCCCCGACTAGCAGAGGTTGAGAGCTTTTAGTGACAGAGTTGGAGGGCGGGGGATTACATGCAGAAGCAGCACAGTCATCTCAAACAGTCATCTTCAAATTGGTAGTCAGCGGTCTGAACAATATCATCTGTTGTCTTAGGTACAGTTAATCTTCAGTTCCAAGCTACATTTGTTCCCATTTCTTTGGGGCCAATTCTCGGAATTGTGGCAGCTCATGTCCTGGGTACAATCTGATCATCAGGTAGTTAACTTTTCAACCTGGTATTTTGGTATCTATAAGACAGCTCACAGGATGTGGTTCAGAATATTATCTATAACCCTGAGAAAGAACTAAAGGTCCATAACAATGCTTAACGCTTAATGCTCACGTTAGTATTATTTAGTCTCCTTTGACTGTTTTCCTTTGTTTCAGCATTTCTCACTTCTCTGATTAAGGACAGTTTTTAACTAAAGTGTTTCACAGGCAAAAGGCAGACAGAGGACAGGGTGGGGGGTGGGGGCGTGTCAAGGACCATATGATCCTGCTCCGTTTCAAGGTGACAAATTATTTCTTTAATAAGTTGAAGTAAATATATGGAAATTTTAAACAATATTGAATCTACTGTTATATATTTTTGGTTTATTTTAACAATAAAGCTTCTTTCTGTAAAAAAAAAAAAAAAATTATTTCTTTAGCAAGTTTTGTCATTGGGCTGTGAATGAAACTGCTATTATACAATGCCCCTCAATTTCAAAATGTTAAAATGTGAAAAAAAAAAAAGTTAAAATATGGAGACAATGTTTCTCTGAATCAAATTTAAAATGTCCCTTACTAAAATCTGCTGATTAAATTACTAAAATTGCATAGAATAAAAAACGTTTTGAATAATTGTTCCTTAAGCTGCTATGTAACTTAAAATAATTTCATTCACATGCATTAACTTGTGCGTATATAAAACAGGGGCTTCCCTGGCGGCTCAGCAGTAAAGAATCCACCAGTAACGCAGGAGACATGGGAGCCAGTTTGGGTCGGGAAGATCCCTTTGGAAGAGAGCATAGCAACCCACTTCGGTACTCTTGCCTGGAAAATCCCATGAACAGAGGAGCCTGGTGGGCTACAGTCCATAACATCGCAAAGAGTCGGACACAACTGAAGCAACGGAATACACACATACACGTGTGTGTGTAATTAGAACTTAGATAATATTAGATAATTAGAATTAGATAATACAGCTTTGGGCTGTAAACATACACACACATATATATATTTATATATAAATTATAGATTTTATATACTTATATATATAAATTTTATATTCAGTTATAAGTGTTCAAATTTTATTGAAATTCATTCTATTTCCACCAATTTCATCACTCTGATTACTCCTTCTGCCCCCAGGCTACCATTCTTTTTGGTTTTAAAAATGACTAAACAAGTAAATCTTTTAAAGGATCAAGTGTATGCCATTTCTTCTCTGAGGATTTTAACCAAACAAATCATATTTGTATATCCTCACTGTTATATTAACATTTAAATAGGCACAACAAATAAGACTATAAAGTAACTAAGGTATTATTTTGTTAAAATAACTAAGGTATTATTTTATTAAAATAACTAAGGTATTATTTTATAAACATTTGGTTTCTATGGTTTAGTAGTTATGGGGACAAGCAAATTATAAAATTATAGTGACATGCTGTTAATTAAATGGCTCAGATTTAGAGGAAGAAAAAGCCTAAATTATCAAGTCATCACTAAAAAAAGGTTAACTAAACTTTATATTTGCAATTTTTTACTAACTAGTATTGATAAAATGCATTCAGTAAAAAATATTTCATCAAATTTAAGTTCTATTGATCTATTTTTTTTTAATTTTTATTGGAGTATAGTTGATTTATAATGTTGTATTAGTTTCAGATATACTGCAAAGTGAATCAGTTATACACATACATACATTCACTTTCTTTTAGATTCTTTTCCCATACAGGCCATTACAGAGTGTTGCATAAAGTTCCCTGTGCTATGTAGCAGGCTCTTAATAGTTATCTACTTTATATATGGTAGTGTATATATGTCAACCCCAATCTCCCAATTTATTCCTCCTCTCCCACCCACTGAACACCGTAAGCTAGTTTTCTACATTCATGATTCTCCTTCGGTTTTGTAATAAGTTCATTTGTACCCTTTTTTTTATATTCCACATATATGTGATATCATAGACATATGTCTTTTTGCATCTGACTTACTTACTTCAGTATTACAATCTCTAGGTCCATCTGTGTTGCTGCAAATGGCGTTATTTTGTTCTTTTCATGGCCGAGTAACACTCTGCTGTGTAAATGCGTCACACCTCCTTTATCCATCTCTCTGTTGATGGACTTTTAGGTTGGTTCCATGGCTACTGTAAATGAAAGATACATGCACACATTGAACATTAGGGTGCGTGTATCTTTTTGAATTATGGATTTCTCTGGGTATATGCTCAGGAGTGGAATTGTTGAGTAATATAATAGTTCTATTTTTAGCTTTTTAAAGGAATCTCCATAGTGGCTATATCAATTTACATTCCCATCAACACTATGGGAGACTTTCCTTTTCTCCACACCCTCTCCAGGATTTATTGTTTGCAGTTTTTTTGATGCTAGTCATTCTGACTGGTGTGAGGTGCTACCTCAGTGTATTTTCTGGATTCGCCTTTCTCCAATAAATAGTGATGTTGAGCTTCTTTTCATGTGCTTTTTGGTCATCTGCATGTCTTCTTTGGAGAAATATTTATTTAGATTTTCTGCCCATTTTTTGACTGGGTTATTTTTTTTTATATTGAGCTACATGAGCTGTTTGTATATTTTGGAGCTTTATTACTTATTGGTTGCTTTGTTTACAAATATTGTCTCCCATTCTGAGGGTTTTCTTTTGTTTTGTCAATATTATTTTTGAAGTTATTAAAAATCAAACAAACAAACAAAACTACTCTTATCCTCTTTGGACTAATTCATGAATGTTAAAAGTGTCAAGTGAGCACTTAAATATATTTAGAAACAATCTTTAAAGTATATCAATATAAGTCAAATAATTTCCAACTCTAGTAGGTTTATTTGACTTCTATACATTTAACTCCTGATTCTTTTTTATGTTCAACATGGCTAGACAGGAAATAAAATCTCTACATTAAATTCAATACCTTTTCCAGTCCAACATAGGGAAATCCATAAAAAGGTCAGTCATCCTGAAAGAGTCTCTCAAAAAAAAATTGAAAATGCTTAGGTAGTGGAGTTTTTCCCAAAAATGCATTCAAATTTAGTCATTATAATGGCCAGATAATTTCCCCAATTATGTATAATTTCCAAAAATGGTTGTGTTAGTGTACTGACTGGATTGGCAAAGGTGTATTAGATGGTAAAATGCAACCTGTAGAATCAATTGACTAAAAGGTTGGCTCTGATCAGCCAATTGGATGATACTAATTTCCTTTTGGAGGAAACAATACTGAGTAAGAATTAAAGTCACAGGCTATTGAGTTAGATTGATTGATTTGAATGGTTTGTTGTTGTTTAGCCACTCAGTCATGTCTGACTCTTTGTGACCCCATGGACTGCAGCACGCCAGGCCTCCTTGTCCATCACCAACTCCAGGAGTTTACTCAAACTCATATCCATTGAGTCAGTGATGCCATCCAACCATCTCATCCTCTGTCATCCCCTTCTCCTCCCACCTTCAATCTTTCCCAGTATCAGGGTCTTTTCAAATGAGCTGGCTCTTTACATCAGGTGGCCAAAGTATTGGAGCTTCAGCTTCAGCATCAGTCCTTTCAATGAATATTCAGGACTGATTTCCTTTAGGATTGACTAGTTTGACCTCCTTGCTGTCAAAGTATTCTCAAGAGTCTTCCCCAGCATCATAGTTTGAAAGCATCAATTCTTCAGTGCTCAGCTTTCTTTGTGGTCCAACTTTCACATTGATACATGACTACTGGAAAAACCATAGCTTTGACTAGACAGACCTTTGTCAGCAAAGTAATGGCTCTGCTGTCTAGGTTTGTGATAGCTTTTCTTCCAAGGAGCAAGTGTCTTTTAATTTCATGCCTGCAGTCACCATCTGCAGTGATTTGGAGCCAAAGAAAATAAAGTCTGTCCCAGCTTCCGTTTTTTTCCCCATCTACGTGCTATGATTTGAATGGTAGCTTCACCAATTATTAGCTGTGAGATCTTGCGCAAATTACTTAAACTGTCTTTTAGTTACTTCTATAAAGGAAGGAAAATAATAAATAAAACTCACCTTGTAAGCTTATTTGTATGAGTAAATAATTTAACACATGTAAAGAACCTAGAATAGAACCTGGAAATTTTAATAGTAAGCTTTTGATAATTGTTAGCGACTGATACTACAAATTTAATATGAATGTCTTGTTTTCTAAACTGGTTAATAAACTGCTCCAGGGCAGGGACTAAACATTACTTTTACTTTCATTTCCAGTACTAGAATGCAGTAGATATTCAACAAACACCTGTTAATGTGCATATGCGCAATTGCTCAGTCATGTCCAGCTCTTTGCAACCCTATGGACTGCAGCCTGCCTGACAAGAATACTGGAGTGGGTTCCCATTTCCTCCTCCAGGAATGCCTGTTAAATAACAGTACAAAAATGCTTTGTGTTATATCTCAGAAGAACATTATATTACTAGTTAGAATTCAGAATCTGATGACAAGGCTTCCATGTAAATCCTTCAGAATAATTATACAAAAGTGAACACCTGTAGGTAAATTACATGTAATTTCTCCAAAAGTCTGTAGATAAGTTTAGGCAGATATTATTTTCATGAAAGACTGTGCCAACTTTAAACAGAAAGATTCAAGATCAGCATTCCCCAAATGATTTTTATGATGTTTTATGTATTTATAAGGATTATTGTCTATAAGATTTTTTTAACTCTGTGATTTAATTTTTATATGATATTTAATGTAAGTGTATTTAATGTCTTGTAAAAACCATCTTAAATGTAAGAATGGCTTTATAAACTCAGTACCACTTGATGTTTATGAAAATAGTATAACAAGAAAGAGCTTTTAATTGTCAGAGTATAATAAAAAAGTGGCCATTTATATATAACTAGTAACTTGTGCCAAGTAAAGGCCAACTACATCACTGTATTGACTACAAAAAATATTCAAAGTAGTTTAACAGGAAAAAGTTATGGCGACTTGAGTCACCACATAGTCATTTCAAACTAAAAGTAGTCCTTGTTTAAAAGACTTCGTACCATTTTCAACCTGGGAAAATTGTTTATTTTGAACAAGACATTCATTCATTACATCAAATAAATTGTATTACTATTAGTTTTATTGGCTTCATAGTTTTGCTTATACAAATACACCAGAGCTTTTTTTTTTTTTTTTAATTTTTTGATGTGGACCATTTTTAAAGACCATTGTTATTAGGTTGGTGCAAAAGTAATTGTGGTTTCAGACCATGAATTTTAAATCACTATAACTAGGCTCAAACACATCTTTCTTAATGAAAATATGAATCATTATAATCAAAACATTTTTGCCAATGAGAGATAAGTTTGCTTATTCCTATAGCATAAAAATCCGTACTTCAGGATTCAGTGAACTCTTGGAAAGCATTTTCTGCCTCCTGCTGGTTGTTGAAGATTTTCCCTGCAAAAAGTTGTTGAGATGCTTGAAGAAGTGGTAGTCTGTTGGCAAGAGGTCAGGTGAATATGGTGGATCAGACAAAACTTCACAGCCCAGCTCGTCAACTTTTGAAGCATTGGTTGTGTGACATGCAGTCAGGTGTTGTTGTGGAGAGGTGGGCCCTTTGTGTTGACCAATGCCCACTACAGGCATTACAGTTTTCAGTGCATCTTATTGATTTCCTAGCATACTTCTCAGATGTGATGGTTTCACTGGGATTCAGAAAACTGTAGTGGGTCAGATGGGCAGCAGACCACCAAACAGTGACTGTGACCATTTTTTGGAGCAAGTTTGGCTTTGGGAAGTGCTTTGGAGCTTCTCCTCCTTCCAGCCACTGAACTGCTCATCCCTGGTTGTCATATAAAATCCACTTTTCATCACACATCACAATCCGATCCAGAAATGGTTCATTGTTGTTGTGTAGAATAAAAGAAGAAAGAAAGTGTGAATGTCTCTCAGTCGTGTCTGACTCTTTGTGACCCATGGATATACAGTCCATGGGATTCTCCAGGCCAGAATATTGGAGTGGGTATCCTTTCCCTTCTCCAGGGGCTCTTCCCAACCCACCAATCGAAACCAGGTTTCCAGCATTGCAGGCAGAGTCTTTACCAGCTAATCACAAGGGAAGCCCGTAGAATAAGAGAAGACAACCTCAAAATGATGATTTTTTTTTTCAATCAGCTTAAGAGGCTCCCACTTATCGAGCTTTTTTTGCCTTTCCAATTTGCTTCAAATGCCCAACGACCATAGAATGGTTGACGTTGGGTTCTTCAGCAACCTCTCACGTAGCTGTAAGAGGATCAGCTTTGACGACTGCCCACAGTTTGTCGCTGTCAGCTTCAGATGCCCCTTGTTTTCAGGGTTCTCATCTCCTTTGCAAACCCTCTCGAGCCACTACTGCCCTGTCCGTTCCTTAGCAGTTCCTGGCCAGAGGCCTGGTTGATGTTGCGAGTTGTCTCTGCTGCTTTGTGACTCATTCTGAACTCGAATAAGAAAATCACCCAAATTTGCTTTTTGTCTAACATCATTTCCATGTGCTAAGTCGCTTCAGCTGCATCCAGCTCTTTGTGACCCTATGGACTGTGGCCTGGCAGGCTCCTCTGTCCATGGGATTTCCCAGGGAAGAATACTGGAGTGGGTTGCCATTTCCTCCTCAGGGGAATCTTCCTGACTCAGGGACTGAACCCACATCTCTTACATCTCCTGTATTGGTAGCCAGGTTCTTTACTGCCAGTTTTACCTGGGAAGCCCCATCATTTCCATAGTCTAAAATAAACATAAAATAAACAGCAAGTAATGTTATTAGCAAAAAAAAAAAAAAAGCAAGAAATGTACATTAAAATGATGTATAACATAACTACATGTATTAAGAAGGCATTCCAATATCAAACAGTTAATTTTAACAATGGAAAAACTGCAATTGCATTTGCACCAATCTAATACACCATTACAACATACAACAAAGAGTTTTTATGTTTTGGTTGTTTGACCGTGAGGCATGTGGGATCATAGCTCTGTGACCAGGGATCAAACCCACATCTCCTGCATTGGAAAGGGAAGTCTTATCCACTGGACCACCAGGGAAACCTTTAAGAACTTTAAATAAAAGAATATTTTACTTCTTCCTATGCTTTACATATTTAAGTAATACCTTAGTGAAGAGTAATTTAAATAACCATTAGCAATATACATGAGTGCTTTCTCTTTAAAATGGTTCCTTACATTTCTCATGTGAGAAACACTGATTAAGATGATAACAAGGCCATTAACATCAGAAACAGTGTAGTGGCTAGAAAGAATTTAGCAGTATTTTTAAAATATTGAATTGTTTCTGGACAATGAGATTTTTACCTTGATTATTATTCTCTTCCTTATAAGAAACATTGGCAAATGCCACATCCCTCAGAAACCATAGCTTTTGGGCCAAGTCTAACCTTCCACAATCTTTTTGTAAGTGAAGTTTAATTGGAACACAGACACACCCCTTCATTTTGTATTATTTATGACAGCTTCTGCCTGAATAACGGAGTTAAGTAGTTCTGACTGACAGAGACTACAAAACCAAAAATCTTTACAGAAAATATTTGCTAACCACAACTCTAGAATTTTCTCTTGTTCTTGGTATTAAACATACCTAAAATATCATCACATAGCTCCACAGAACAGAATGGAGAATTTAAAAAAATATATCAACACAAATTATGTCCAACAGGTTTTTAACAAAGGTGGAAAAAAAAACAACAACAATTCAACAGAAGAAAGATAATCTTTTCAAGAAATGGTCTTGGATCAACTGAACATGCATAGTCCAAAAAACAAAACAAAAGAAAACAAAACTACAACCTAGACCTTAAATGTTATGTAAATTTTTTTCAATTAATTTAAAATTCATCACAAACTTAAATGTAAAATACATCTGTAAAACTTTTAGGAAAAAATCTTCAGGATCTTGAGCTGTGGGAAGAATTATTATACTTTATCCAAATCCATGATCCATAAAAGAAAAAATGATTAATTGGATCTCATCAAAATTTAAAACTTTTTTTCTATAAAAAACTCTGTTAAGAAATTTAAAAGATGAACTGTGATCTGTGAGAAAATATTAGCAAAGCTTACACAAGGACTAGTATCTAGAATACATAAAAGGCCAAAAATAAGTATCTGGATTATATAAAGAACTCTCAAAACTCACCGATAAAACACAGATCAGTTAGAAAATAGGCAAAAGACAGACATTTCAAAAAAGAGGAGATGTAAATGGTAAATAAAATTTGCCCTCTATATACCACCAAAAAGGATAATTGATGGCATGCGAAAAGATCTTCAACATAGCTTGCCATTAGAGAAATGAACATTAAAACTATAATGAGATGATATGACATATCTACCAGAATGGCTAATATTTAAAATGATGACAATAGCAAATGGTTACAAGCAGGTAGAGAAACTGAATCACTCCTACATTTCCAGTGGAGAGGTAGAATAGTATAGCTACGTTGAAACAGTTTGTAGATTTCTTATAAGACTAAATATCCAACTACCATGTGCAAAGTTCCTTGAGTCCTGACCAACTTTTTTTCAACCCCATTGACTACCTGGTGGGTAGGTAGCCCACCAGGCTCCTCTGTCCATAGAATTCTCCAGGCAAACATACTGGAGTGGGTTGCCATTTCCTTCTCCAACTACCATGTGACCCACCAATTGCATGCTTGGACAACTATCCCAGAGAAATGAGTACTTAAACTCATGCAAAGATCTGTAGGCAGAAGTTCACAGTAGCTTCATTTGTAAATGGATAAAAAACTGGAAACAACCTAGATGTTCTTCAGTGGAGAAAAATTAAATAGGCTATGGCACATACATATTATGGAGTGCTAGTAAGGCATAAAAAGGCAATGTTGCTACATGCAACAACTTGGATAAGTCTCCAAGGAACTTTGATGAGTTAAAAAAAAAATCAGTGCAAAGAGATAGAGGAAAACAATAGAATGGGAAAGATTAGAGATCTCTTCAAGAAAATTAGAGATACCAAGGGAAGATTTCATGCAAAGATGGGCACAATAAAGGACAGAAACAGTATAGACCTTACAGAAGCAGAAGGTATTAAGAAGAGGTGGCAACAATACACAGAAGAACTATACAAAAAAGATCTTGATGACCCAGAAAATCACAGTGGTGTGTGATCACTCACCTAGAGCTAGACATTCTGGAATGCAAAGTCAAGTGGACCTTAGGAAGCATCACTAGAAACAAAGCTAGTGGAGGTGATGGAATTCCAACTGAGCTATTTCAAATCCTAAAATATGATGCTGTGAAAGTACTTCACTCAATATGCTAGCAAATTTGAAAACCTCAACAGTGGCCATAGGACTGGAAAAGGTCAGTTTTCATTCCAATCACAAAGAAGGGCAATGCCAAAGAATGTTC